AGCTTTGTGAGGTTTGGGGCCCAGTATAGTTCGTGCTCCTTGTAGGGAGCTCGGGTTCTCAGTAGGGAGCTCGCTCTTAATAGGGAGCTCGGACTCCCAGTAGGGAGCTTGCTCTTAATAGGGAGCTCGGGTTCTCAGTAGGGAGCTCGCTCTTAATAGGGAGCTCGGACTCCCAGTAGGGAGCTTGCTCTTAATAGGGAGCTCGGGTTCTTACTTAGGGAGCTCGGACCCTTAACAGGGAGCTTGCTCTTAACAGGGAGCTCGGATTTTTACTTATGGAGCTCGGACCCTTAACAGGGAGCTCGCTCTCAACAAGGAGCTCAAACTAAGTACAGCGGTCTGGAGTTCGGGCTCGATAGTGAGCTTGGACTTGCTTCCGATGTTCGCTTTGGGCGCTCTACTGTCCCAAGCTGCTTGCCTTTGCCACGTGTCGGGCGATCGCGAGGTCGGGCCAAATTTCTCTTCATCAAGTATATTATCTGATTTTTTTTCGATTTTCATCCACACCTTAATCTTGTTGCCCTTCAAAATTAAAAATTATGAACAAAGGATTTTTTTTGTCCAAAAATATTTATTTTCTGATTTTTTTCAAATTTCATCTACACCTTAATTTTGTTGCCCTTCAAAATTAAAATTATGTACAAAGGATATTTTTGTCCATATAATAATAAATATTCTCTGTGCATTTTCATCATAAAAACCTCATCTTTTACTCTAACCTACACCATAATTTATAGCCACACATTATAAACATCTGTGTAATTAATTGATAGGGTCATATTTGAGTTATAGGTTTATTGATCATTTGGTAATAGAATCTATTAAATAACTTAAAATTAGAACATAATAAAAGGGTGGTTTTTGTATTTGTCTATAAGCCTAGGATGAAGGTTCAAGTATTGATACGTATCAGCTTGTATTAGTTGTTATATATTGTGTCGATGACTTTTCGACACTCTCTTTCAGGGGTTATATTAGGTCAGACCATAATTCAAAGAGTAACCGGGACTTAAACCAACCCCCTGAACTAATTTTAAAAAAATAAATAAATAAAACTTAAAAAACACGAACACAGGTCGATACATTGAACTTGCCCAGGATCGATACAAATAATTTTCACTTTTTTATTATTGTTGCGAACTTGGCAACCGAACTTGCATTTCCGGCCGGCCCCAATAAATTATAAATTGGAGACCCGCATTCGTCCACATTCCACAATCAGGAGACTCAAGAAAGGTTCTTGAGGTTTGTTTCTACGAGTTCTGAGTGGAGGCAATTGCAAAGATCTTGGAGGAACAAAGCGAATAGTGTCAAAGAAAAAGGAAAGAAAAAGAATGGTCCGACCAAAATGGAAGGGCCATTGGTAAAACTGTATTTTTGTTTAAACTATATTAGTGTATCTACTTCAGCAAGTTCCTTAAAAATATCTTCCCTCCTTGACATTTTAACAAAAGGGTAAAATTGTATATTTACATCTATTTCAAAAACTCAGGGTATGTTTAAGTTAATTTATAAAAATTCAGGGTATATTTTAACTCTTTTACCCTTAAATTAACTTCAAGTAATTAATTATTAGCTCAATATAACTATTAATATAGATGCAAGATTTAAATATTGATAATTGTGCTTTTACTTGATTATTTCATTTTCAAGTTATTACCAAAAATTTCACTTACAAGTAAAGTTTTAAAAATCGATGAAATGGAACCATTGTGACCATCAGTTTTTGGATTGGTGGTTCATTCATCTGGTCCAAATGGATCATCATTTTATAATATTAAATATTAAAAATAAAATTTAATTAAAATGTAAAGTAATAATTTTATTTAAATTTCAAAAGTAAGTTAACTTTTTAAAAAATAATAGCAATTAAGGGCAAAAACATTGTTCATCTTCTTTCTCTTGCAATTGAGTCATCAGCGCCGCCACTCGCCACTGCCTCCAACAGTGCCTTTGCCTATCTCCGGCAATGTTGTCGGAGGTGGGCAGAGGCAAAGGTAGAGGCATTGGGCAGAGGAATGGCCACCAATGCTGCCACCGCCGCCTTTGCCTCTGCCTCTACCTACCTCCAGCAACATTGCCGGAGATAGGCGGAGGCATTACCGGAGGCGACGGCGTGCGGCGGCTCTGATGACTCAATTGCAAGAGGAAGAAGATGAACAATGTTTTTGCCCTTAATTGTTATTATTTAAAAAAAAAACAACCTGTTTTTTAAATTTAAATAAAAGTATTACTTTTATTGATATTAGGGCCCAAAAGTTGCCCTTATCTGTTATAATCCCAATATTTAATTTAGTGGTTCAAATGTACGGATTAGCAGTTAGCTGACGGAATCAGTGGTCTAATTTTTAAGAAATTCCGGGTTAGCTGCAAACTGGAGCAACCGTTTAGGTGACCGGTTCCTGGGTTGAAAGTTTCGACCACCCCGGGTCAATGAGGATTCAAAAACCATGACTAGTTGACTACAAGTCAGAACTCATAAATCTAGCCATTAATAGAAAGAGAAAAGTTTGGCTGTCCACAGTGTTACATTTTAGGAATTGAATATAATTCTTCATGGAAATTGGGTATAGGGATTGGCTCGCCGGATGAAAGAAGTCAGAGTGAGATTCGATGAGATAATGGAGAAGATCATCGACCAGCATGAACAAGATGCTAAAGAAGAGAAGGACCACAATAGGGACTTGGTGGATACAATGTTGTCGTTGATGGCAGAGGCGTCGTCGTCGTCGAAAGATGAACAACATGAACAGTCCTCTGGCGATTATTGCAACATGGATCGGACGGATATCAAAGCAAACGTACTGAACATTATCGGGGGTGCAATAGACTCATCGGCAGCCACGATCGAGTGGGCATTCACGGAGCTGCTCAGGCATGAGCAGGTAATGAAAAATGTCCAACAGGAGCTGCAGCGCGTAGTTGGGATGAACCGGGCGGTGGAGGAGGATGATTTAGCAAAGCTAGAGTACTTGGACATGGTGGTGAAGGAAAAGCTTGAGGCTTCATCCTCCAGGCCCATTCCTACTCCCACGAGAATCCATAGAAGACACCACTGTAAATGGATACCACATACCCAAGAACTCTCGAGTCATTATAAACGTTTGGTCTATTGGGCGGGACACCAATGTGTGGTCTGAAGATGCTCACCAATTCAACCCTGAAAGGTTTAGAGGTTCGACTGTAGATGTGTTTGGCCAGGATTTCCAACTTATCCCATTTGGTTCAGGTCGAAGAGGTTGCCCAGCTATAAAATTGGGCCTCACTGTGGTTCGCCTAGTGCTAGCGCAATTGGTGCACTGCTTTGACTGGAGGCTTCCTAATGCCATGTTACCTGCAGCAGATTCCTTGGACATGACGGAGAAGTTCGGCATATCGATGTCAAGGTCTAGTGATTTGCTTGTCATTCCCACTTTTCGCCTTAAGAACAACTTTGGCTCCTTTTAAAATATGCAGGGATGATGCCAAGTGGCAAGTGGGTATATATCGTATCTGCTATGGTAATATTAATATATATGGGATGAGGTGGCTTTAACATCCACCGTTAAAAAAAAAATATTTCCTCCTCTTTGAAGGGAGCAAAAGTGAACTCACTTTATGTTTTTTGTAGTCATTTCTAAGTAAATAAGAGTCATTACCCAATATTGGTCAACTAGGGCTTTGGAAGGACTGGATGGATACTTGGGATAGGAAAATGGCTACTCATTTGTTGTTTGAGTTTATAGTAGTAGCTCATGAACTTGCCCTTATATATATAGAGGGAAACATCCATTGCAACTATGCTTGTACTTCTGCCTCAGTGGTGAACAACACATGGTATTCTGCCTTGTTATGTTGAACAGTTGAAGTACAGAGAACAATGTTTTTACAATGAAGGGGCTAAGGAGCTGGTCTTTGCTCCTTATATGAAAGAGAATATACTTACTCCCATTCAGGGTGGATGTTAAAGCTACATTATTGGAAAGTAGATTTGTTTATGGATCGGGCATTGGGCTTGACTTACACTGTATCAGGCTCAGGCCTCATTGAAAATTTGGCAAAAGATAAGTCCGAACCCAACACATGAACAGGCCTATTGGAAAGTACAAAAGTTTTCGAAAACAAGGAGGCGTGGCTTTACTATCCACCATGGATGCCACAATTTCCTCTCTTTAACTACAAAGGTATCATTATTGGTGCCACGCCTGAAACACTTTAACCAATCAAAATATTTTATGGCTTCCATTCTTTGCAAGAGGAAAAAAAATGCCTCCCAACAGTTGCAGTAGTCCACTTAATACCCATATCTTTGGTAGGCTTATGCCTATATATGTTGTGTATCTACATCTACAAGACTACAACTAGGGATGCAACCAACCTAGGGTGGGTTAATTCTAATTAACTGAATTCAAAACGTCAGGTTTGGTTAAGTTTTGTTTTTTGTGTTTTTTAGGTAAATTATTAAATGTATATGTGCGTTGTATATGGTATTTTTAAATAATAATAATAATCAAAGCATGATGTATCAGTGGATTTGTTGCCTTTCAAAAGATCTGGTTTCATAAAAATGCTTTTATAAAAGTGCTTTCATAAAAATGCTTTTATAAAAGTACTTTCATAAAAATGCTTTTATAAAAGTACTTTCATAAAAGTGCTTTTGTAAAAGTACTTTCATAAAAATGCTTTTGTAAAAGTAGTTTTATAATAATGTTTTATAAAAGTACTTTCATAAAAGCGCTCTTGTAAAAGTACTTTTCTAAAAGTACTTTCATAAAACTACTTTCATAAAAATACTTTTATAAAACTGCTTTCATATTAAAGTACTTTTATAAAAGTGTTTTTTGTAAAAGGACTTTCCTAAAAGTGCTTTTGTAAAAGAATTTTTCACAAAATTACTTTTATAAAAGTGCCTTTGTAAAATTGCTTTTGTAAAAGGATATAATTGGTATTCTAAAAATTTTACCATGGATAATTTTGGGAGAAATTTGTATGAACACTTAAAAAAAAAATAGAAATTTGGGCCTAAAAAGTAAGCTCTTATTTTTAAAATAAGCACTTATTTTAGACTTATTTCCCAAACACCAATAAGTGCTTAATGGTGTGATCCCCACCAAAATAAACACTTATTTTTAAGCACTCCCAAACATGACCTTATTATTATTAACCCATAGATTCTTAAATGGACAATTTAATAATCTAGTAAGGGGCCAAAGCGTTGGAATCTAAATTTAGGGAGGCCCACTCACAAAACAAAGTTTGGGGGACTATATATCTGTTACCACCCCTTAAATACAAACCGGTGGTTATTTATAATTTACCATTTTTCTTTCTGGTATTACATATTACAGATTAAGAGGTGGGAACAGCAGGATGCATATGTAGAGTAATGACAAGTCAAAATCCTTAAACGTTAGGAAAGAACAAGAGCACATGTTTTAGGTGAAGAGAGGGTTTAACTTTACATACAGATTGTTGAATTGACAGAAAATAAGATTCAAATAAACAAGTTATAAACGGAACAAGGCATGTGATGATAGCATGTTGGTCTTCACTTTTTTCTTTCCTTTCTTTTCTTACTAATGAATACAAAAGTGCCATTTTGCCATTTTGCCTAGTAGGTTACCTGCCGACAAACAAAACCCACATGATCCTACAGCTACAAGCACGGTTTTGAAAATTGCACTGGACCGAAAAACTTAGGTGTTGTTTGGTACTGTTTACATCTCGTGGATGGATCATTTTGGTCCACGCCACGAGATGGAAGTAGCGTTCGGTTCACTGTGGACGGGACTGGTCCACATTATCTTGTGGACCAGTCCCGTCCATACCCTAATTTCTCGGCAATGGCTTCTTCTCGTGGATGGATTTCTTCCACAGATTGCCTTTGATAATGTGTTTTGCGCACAGTATCTATAACCCTACATCTTGTTTAAGGTCTCCTCCGCCAAACCTCTGTTGTTGTGCACCATTGCCTCTACTATGCTCCACTGGTGCTGTCCAAGTTCTTCATCGAAGGTAAGACCCATGTTGCATCCTTTTTTTATCTTTAACATCCTCTTTTTTTTCTCTTCACCGAACCTCTACGTTGTTTTCCTTTTTTTTGTTTCTTTCTGGGTATTGCGTTGGTAGGTTGGTGGTCACAATCTCCAACATGCGTGTTCTTTAGTTATGGGTATTGCGTTGCAGTCTTTTTCTCTCCTTTCTCTCTTTTATTCTTCTCCTATTATGTTGATCATCTTTTCTTCCATTATTTAACTCTATTACAAACTTTAGATTTCTTTTTATTCTATGAAAAACAAGTAGAAAATACTTAAAACCAAATTATACCTATGAATTTGCACAAAATTCCACTTATAACATTTTCCTATGATTCAAACAGTCCTTGACATTATTACTACTTGTTAATAGAATTGGTCATATGACACAATAATCTCAACTACAAGAATTTAAATTGAAAAAATAAAAGAAAACAAAGAATCAATTATAGTGATGAAATAAAATACTTATTTAGGTGCAATAGGATGATACTCATTCAGATGAGAGCAGAGCTGATCTTCGAATATGAAAGTTACTATTTTCAGGTCCACATAACTTATTAGGCAAAGCACAAACAAACCCATTCAGGCCACCACTGGGAATGTCGGCATCAATGAAATAATATTTTTTTAAATATCTAATATATATTTTATATATTTTTAATTATTTTATTATTGTTTTAACAAAAAAAATTGATATTTTTTTGTTAATATTAATTCATTGATGCATTTTTTTAAATATTTATCATACAAAATGCAAAAATTACATATTTATGATTAACTGTGTATATCATTAATTCCATGTACATGAGATACATAGAATCAAAAAAGTGTGACCACACTACAGAATACCACTATGGGTGTGGGCTGGTCCTATCCACACAGTTTGTCCACAATTCAAAACAGTTATGGACTGTGATGTAGTGTGGATTGGTCACTGCCACAGGGTGTGGTGTGGATCATTCCACATCCACACTACAGAACACTCCCTTAGGCACTGATTCCGTTTCACCCTAAAACTATTTTTGGCTAAAAATCGTTAATTTAGTCAACAATCCACTGATCCAGGCGGTTGAGCCATCAAACAATCAATTTAGACAATAACTTTTTGCTTTTTTATTTTTTTACTGGATGATCGAACTGTTTGACCCAAAACGGTTTTACATCTGGTCCGATTTTAAAAGCCCTGCTAAAAGAATTGTTTTTTGCAATTATCTTTCACAAGTACTAACATAACATGTGCGCGTCGATCTCTTCTAATTCCAATATTCCATCACTCACCTCTTGCATCAATAACCTCCACAGTGGATACATAACAACCTTGCTCCCAGCCTCCCACTGCTCCACTAGAAGCTGGTCATGCACTCAATCTTTGTAACGAAGAACTAGAGCTCTGTTTGGATAAATTTTTGCTTTGAGCTTTTGATCGTGGAAAATAATAGCTGAGCCAAAAAAATGTTTTAAGCGAGCGTTTGGTAAGATTTATTTTTGAAAACATTAGTCTAAAACGTAAATACTTTTAAGCCCCAAATTATAGAATTCTGTGCTTTTGTGCTCTAAAAACACAAATAGTGAAGCTTATCCAATCACAACTTAGGTTGGCTCTCTTGTTAAAATGTCAAACATACATAAATGACCAGGTTTGCAATAAATTAAAGGTCGCATTAATTCCCATCCCAACAGAGTGCACTCCCCCCACTGAACAATTTTGGCTCCACCTCTAACTTTTCGTAACCCGTTTATAGATCCCTCTACACTTATCTTATTTGTTTAATGAGGTGAATTTTTTAATAAGTGAAAATTTATGATGCGGAAAAGATATAGTATTGGAAGAGTTTTGACCAATCAAAATCCACCCATGAATTTTAACACTTGATTGGCTATCACGTTTATGATTCCAGTTGATTAGTCAAAAATTTTTCAGATATCATATCTTTTCCATATCATAATCAAACCCTTTTAATAAATAATTCGTTTAGGCTGTTTTTGGTTTGTATAAATTTTCTACCTTTTCATTCAACCCAAATAAAGCCTAATGAAATAAATTGTTAAAGGCCAAACAGCCAAAGTTTGAAAAAGATCGAAATGCAATAAAAAGAAAACAAATTATTAAAGTTGCTTTATGCATAAAAATTTTAAAACTTTGACCGCATCAGGTTGCACAATAAAGAGGGTGTTTGGAACTGTGGTATCGTGTTCCTGTTTAGAGTCTATGTAAGCATCACATAGGTGTTTTGACTTCATATATAATACCAAAATATTCATGTTTGGTTGGATGGATTTAAGTCCTTTACATTGGTTTATATGCATCAGGGTGTTGGGGGAATTGTCTTTTTGGTATTTCCCCAAACAGGGGGTGTGTTTCCTATTCAGTTGCTCTATGCAATGCTTAGTGGCACTTATTTGCTTCCAACTAAAAGGAAAAAAATAAAATAAAAATAAAGATTGGGTGTCATGTGTTATGTGCCAAAGCATCTTACTTTCTTGATTTCTAATGCTATATATGATTAACACTACGAAAATGAAGGAAAAAAGAAACGTTAATCAGAAAATCATATCCAAATGGGGAACAAGTTATTTTTCTAATTTTTCTGATGTTTGGTTAGCCTGAAAAATAGATTTGCATGGATGAAAAGGACTTGGATCCCACAAGAAGGCATTTTGTATCAAAGAAGGAACACCATTTTCATCACATTGAAATAATATTTTCTTGAGAAATCATTTTATCATTTGTTTTTCATCATCTTAGATGCAACCCAAAATGCAAAGAACACGCACACAAATGAGCCAATAAGAACAAGTATGGTCTTCTTGTCTCCATATGTATGATAATAGTCTGAATACAGTATGCCACTGAAGCCCAATAGAAACCAAATCTAAAATAGGCCGATTGGCCCGGCCATGAAATCTATAACACTATAAATATAGAAACTAAAACATCCGAAAACCAATCATCCATGACCAGTAGTAAGGCTAATACTGAAAAATGGGACAAAAAATTACGGTTAGACTCAGTTTGGAAAGAGTACGAATACAAATATGTGCAGTACAAATACAATTAAAATAAAAGGTTTCCACTCTACATATTTGTATTTATCCTCCTTCCAAACTGAGCCTTAAGGGAACAACTAACAATCATCCTAGTGAATTTTGATGAATTTTTATTGGTTAGTGTACAAGATACTACATCTGTATTTGTCCTCAGGGACTCCAGAACTGCCCAATAGGACTTTATATCTCTTGCCCACAAAAACTCTATCCACACCTATCCACAATATACTACAACTGTGCATCAGGAACATCTTTCCATGCATGATAACATGTGTGAATTTGAAAAATACCCTTTCTTCAAAATACATCAATTTTTGCGTTCTGCCTCTGAGTTAAGGAAAGAAATTGTGGAAATAAAATTCTTGTAGACCAATCTGATTTCCACCATCAAATTGCGCTTGATGCAAAAGCACCTAAGGCTTAGTTTGGAAGGGGAGTATAACTACAAATATGTACAATACAAATCCATGCAAAATAATGCAAAATATAAGATTTTGCACTCTATATATTTGTATTTGTAATCCTTCCAAATAGAGCCTAAAACAAAGAATTACACCGATACATTCGTCCACAAAAAACAGCTTCTTCACCTAATTAAATTTTCCTCTCAAGCAGCTGCTGTAGAATAAAAGGACTAGGAGCCCATGGGTCCTCCCCCCACTACACTGCAAACAGTATCCGATTGTCCAAATTCAAATATGAATTTGATACCTTTTAAGGATAACCCAAATTCGATCCATATATAATTGGATCAAATATGGATCCACCCCATCACTCATGGCTCATACACTTGACAATATAAGTTGGACTGTTGGATAGTAGTCTAAATGATGAAATGAGCCTTCCATGGATTATGGCTTATTTAACAGCTCCAGAGGATTTACGTTTATCGGCCATGTCACCCTCTTCTCACGTGGTACATATGTTTGAGTTTATACATCAAAAAAGAAAACCCTAGTTCTATAATATTAATTGTTTTCCATATCAGTATGAACATAAAACAAGTTAAAATTATAGTCATAGCTTGAGAGGAATCCTCAACAGTGGGAGCTGGGTTAGTTCCGTCAATTTGGAGGTGATGGAATTCACAAGGCTTAGCAAGCTATTGACATTTCACCATCGAAGGTATAGTATGAGTTCTTACACCAAGACATTTGATGATATTCATACATGGTATAGCGGATAATGTGGGTGGGCCTCACATTTGATGATCATGTTCACAGTACAACCTTTCCCCAAAATAAAACAAAACATTGGTCGGTTTTCAGTCAACCCCATTGTCCAGTTCTCAAAATATTGTTGTGATGAAGCGCAATCTAATCGCTCCCTGTTGGAATGCAGTTCAGATGTCGGACTAGTTACGTGGTTGGGTAAGAAGATCAGAGTGTTTCAGAATGTTTTACTCAGTGTGGGCACTCTGATGTTTAAGTTAGCGTTGAAAGTTTGAGAAAGCTGATAGCTTGGAAGTAATAGAGTGTGAGAGTTAAATCGCGTGTACCTTGCGAGGCTGGAGGCGAAGCCTTTATATAGCAAGTTGTTGTGGGCCTCACGATGCATGTCCAAGATCACTGGCCCGTCTAACCTGGAGTCAGTTTCGCACCCAAAGATGGACTCCGAGTAAGCTGATCAGGCTTATCCAGGTCCGTCCGACTCAAGTGGGGTGAAGATAAGATCCATTGGCATGCACTGTGGTCCCGAAGAGATTGGAAACAGCGGGCTTGCTTCTATAAGGAGGCTACATGGCACCCCGACAGGTCAACGGATGTAGTGAGTTATTCAAACCTCGGTCTAAATGGGTGACTTGAGGTGCCCGATGTGACTAAGACTACTAAGGTGTCCGAGATTGCCGAAGTATCGCCATATCACTCAGTCGCTCTACGTGTCGTCTCATCATTGGACGAGCCAAATTATACCTCATCAATTTGTATGTACTGTGGTTTCCACTCTCCACCAAGACATTTATGACTTTTTATTATTTATTATTGCCAAAGTAATGTCGAGAAATTTTGGTAATTCTTTTGTACATAGTCTTGAATTGAAATTTAATAATGATATACTTTATTAATTATATTTATAAATAGTGATTAATTACAGTGGGTTATGAGAGTTCCTTACGGCTACTCCTGTTGCATTTTGAACTTTTTTTCATGATTTCATATATATATGACTAGTAACAGGTTAATAGCTATAGTGCACAAGTAATATATAAATATATACCTGCCAATAGTAACACCATGCTCTTCATAGGTGATTCTGTTGCATATAATTGTGATTGATACCATTGTTGTTTCTAACTGAAACGTTTTGGGTTGATCGATGAAGATTTGTGAGATTTTTTGTACCTGAAAGGTTGATAAATATAAAATGCAGATTTTTTCTAAAACATCAAAACTAACATTTCAACTATAAACCGCAATAATCAGCCCCACATGCATTTTACCAGTTGAACTGACTCTTCGATATGATGTCACTACATATATTTCTCATCAATTACCAAAACATTGTTTTCGGTTAGAAACAGCAATGGTACCAAACACAACCCTGCACTGCACTGGAAGTTGAAGTGTTTCCCTTGTCCTTGGACCTTTGGTAAATCGGTGTCCAAAATCTAAATAATGTATATTCACTGATAAAAGTTGGAAATTGTTCTAACGTCCAACCTAAATCAGTATCTCAAATGTCAATATGGATTAGCATTTTCTCTTTTTTCTTTTTCCTGATATTGGTAGTGATACAACTCGGTGTAAAGTTAAAACGAGGCACAAATGGTAAATTTTTGACATAGCACTAGCACTGAATGGAGTTCAACTGAAAACTCAATACATGTTAGCCATATGGATACAAAAACAAGGAAGCACTCCAAGCAGTAGAAAAGATGGGAAAAAATGAGGTTTGATGTGGTGAAATTCTAGCAACCCAGGTCACATGTTTCTTCAAGACAAATGTGGATTCAGCTGGAACTTCCAAATCAGAAAGGGAAAAAATCCTGAACAAGCACGTCTAGCTAGACATCATGACTTGATCACTTGTCTGGAGTGCTTGGCTGGCAAAAAATCTAACATCCACATCTGGGTCCTCACTGAGCTCCACCAAGCAGGGACGGATTGTCTGCTCCACCACCTACATTATAAGGCAAATTCCCAAGAACAATCCAAACTTAGCAGATACACATCAATGCACAACAGCATCATAAGAATTCAGTGTCATTACTTACAGACTGGTCAACTATGGGAATGAGTGACTGCAACACCTTTGCCACATTGAATTTGATGTTTGGTACCCTACAAAGTTCAAGATATTAAGACCAGCAGCCCAAGCACAACCTTGAATAAACATTCTCGATCTTGCATCTAAAGCTAGTGAAATAAGATGCTCACCGGTCCTTTGATGAATTGATCACCACTGGTAGCAATTTTGAACAAGTGATTTCTGAACCCATAACAGGGGCAAGTAGAGAAATTGCATGAAGAATGGTCATCCGATAAAGATAGTGAGGATTGTTAATCATTTCCAGAACCTGCAGAAATGCTACCTTATGGTTTCAGGAATAGTGGACAAAGAAATAATAACAACTATAATAATAGTAGTGGTGGTGGGAGGTGGGAGGTGGGGAATATCAGACCTGTGGAATTATATGTTGCATTGCCCAATCAGGACCAAACTCTTCTGCAAGACGCTTCAAATTATTTGCTGCTGCATCACGAATTGAGTACACCTGTAAAATGTACCCACCATAATAAGCTAAAAAAGATATTACTGGAAAAAAAAAAGGAATCCTAGCCATTATATTTGTAACAAAGGAATGAGTTTATACAAGGGGGAGCTAGCAAGGGTATCCTATCTGAAGGGGTGCTTCGCACATTAATCAATGTACATTATTCCTTTTAACAACTTAATAAAATTCATGATTGTCAATAATCCAAAAAAAAAAAAAAAAAACATTATAAGCTGCCCAATCATACTTGGTTTTTGTTGCATGGGGTTGCAAATAGGGCCAGGCCAGTCAAATGGGATTTTAAAAAGTGGCCCACTTTGGGCTGGACTAAGGCTATGATATTGGGCAGACAAAGCTGGCCTAGCCCACAAGCTTACATATTAAACAGGCCAGGGCTAAGATAAGGACTGCCAGTGTAACGGGCCCATGTATACATCTCTAAATGGACCTGGCTTAACCCCTTCCAACATATATACACTTCATTTCCCACTATCTAACAAAAATAGGATGGAGATCAAGAAAAAATAATGAAATCAAAATCAACAATAAAATAATCAAGCATAATATCTGAAGAAGCTAAGATAATAATTATAGAGGATAAAAGGACAACCAAAGCAAGAAAGGGTACAGTTGAGCTGTCCCACGTGTACCAATTCTCTGTTAGCCATGTAAATTAGAAGCTAACAAACCTTATCTTCCAACCATTGCATGCAAAGAGCACCAAGCTTGTCATCAAAAAACCCTACACCCAATTGACTTGCCAATAGTGGTATGTACTCTATAATTGCAAGCCGAACCCTCCAATGTCTGTCCTCAGCGAGCTCAACAATAGCTGGGAGCAGGGATTGGGACAACAGGTCAATTCCAATGACCTGCAAAAGAGATATAAACACCATTTAAAAAAGACAAGAAAAGGGAAGTTTTGCTGATAAACTTTAATGGAAGAATTGCTAGTAACAATTAACATATTAATTATCTGGAATTGTATCCCTATTTTCTAAACACCGTTTAATGGAAGAATTGCTAATAACTATTTTCTAAACTAATACCTTGGAACTCGGAAGCAGTTTTTTTTTATTTTTTATGCAATTACTTTGTAAAAATGAAAATATTAAAATGCACCTATCAATGGCCAGTTGGGGTAACTAAATGTATGATCAACTAAGATTGAGCTCCTGGAGGACTAACCTGGTTCACTTGATCAAGCTTGCTAATGATATTGAGCCGGACATCAGGAAATTCATCTTTTAGAAGGGAAAGAAAAATTGGAAGAAGTTGCTCAATTGTTGCATCCTGCATCAACCATCAAGTAGGATTTAGATAGTCCAGCATGGAAGAATAAATAAATAAGAGGGTGCCATGATGCTTTTAAGAAATACAATAAGAGTTAGGTAGTCTACTAGTAAGAACAATATTCAATGATCCATGTGAAATAACACCATCGAGCCAACTGAAAACTAGGACTATGAGTGCTAAATAAACCAAGGCGTCATTGGCTCATTGCATGGAGGGATTATAAAAGATATGACTGGCAAGTATAAGAACACGAATTTGGATCTTAGAGAAGGCACCCTGTGCCAAAGTTAGGGCCATATCCAGTCTACACCTCCCAACCCGTATAGTCAGATCAAGCATTGGGTAATGGCCATTTTTACAGAAAACACTACTAAAGCATTTTTGTTCTTCTCAACTGAGAGTGGCTACATGTGCCCTTGTACCTTACCTTTCCTAAAACTGGTGCCATGCCCATTATTACCGAAGCCAAAGCAGAACGTACATGCTGGGAAGAATCTGATGACAACTCCTACAAAAGATTACATTGATTCAAGCTCAAGCTTGGAAGAGATAGGAAACCAATACCAGTATCTCATATACTCAGGTAAGTCATAACTACATAAACTAACAAAAAATTATTATACATGGATAAAACAACCTTGGAATGTAATTAAGTAGATATACCTTAACACAAGGTAGAATATGTTGAATTGCAAGTTGTGGATTCAAGATACGGCAAAACTTAGTTACTTTTCCTGCAGCTGCTATACGTACTTCAGCCTCATTATCTCGAAGTAGCCGAACATATGCAGGAACCAAGTCCGTCCTTACAACAATACGAAATCCACCATCAATTAAAATATTCAAAACGATAAATTAGTAAAAAACACTCTTTTAACATGCCAAAAAGACAGGGATGGTAACAATAAAATAAACAGAAAAAAAATGAAACTGAAGAATTTCTAAGAAACTTATGAAGAATAATTCAATGGAGTAGATTCTCTGGACATAATCCACCACTACAATAGTTATAAAAGACTAAAGAAACATAGTATGTTCAATTAACTTGCTAGAGTGGCAAATACCCAAAATAACCAAGAATAATGGCAAAATTTTTAATACACTGAATTACCTAGTAGGCTCAGGCCCAACAGCTTCACAAAGCTCATATAGTTGATTTGCAACCATGTAGCGAACACGCCAAGATTTATCCTACTCAAAAGGAAGGGAATACAGGTAAGAAAAATGAAAGATTTTATAGAATCAGAAAAAGCTATTTCATATCTAAACCAATGTTTTACACTTCAATTATGGTGTAAACTTCAGTCTAAGTGGAAGTCAAATAATTCATGACATTTTACGGAAGTTCATGGAAACATTGTAAAATTATTGAAACTTTGAAAAAATCAAAGTTAACGATAAATCTTTAAAAAAGATAGAATAGACATCAATACATACTTTAGCACACAACCAAAACAACTAATTAAAAATAGGGAGTGTAAAACACAGGAATCAATGTACATCACTGCACATGTCCTATATTTTTAACACCAAACAATCCATAATATATAATTTGTAGCCATGATTGTTACTTGTTAGATGATTCATATTCTTCTTCACAGTAAATAAAACTCATTTAAGAATTATCAAAAAAACAAGACCCATTGAAGAATTTCAAATATTCTTGTTTTAGTCTACTGGTTTTCTTAAGCTTTAGAGAGACTGTGTTCTTTAGACGTTTAGGTGGCATGCTTAAATGTTAATGAAAATCATGTATTTATTATGTTTTTTTATCATAGAAAATTGACAAGTTATGGAAGCTTGACATAAGCTTCAACCATTTAAGTTTCACTTTAGTTGCCATGGAAGTGGAAACATCTCATATTCAATTTCCATGGAAGTTTAAAACCATTCTCTCAACTACACAGCAGGAATTGATTCTTTATGGAATGGTGTGAAACCACCAAGTACACCACTATCCTTGATGAGAAATGTACATCATAGAATAGTCATGTGGGAAAAAGGAGCCATGTGAGTGGTAAAATTAACAGAGTAAGGAAATTCCATTCATAAGGAGACTTGTCTTATCAGCTTACTAGGCCCTTTGGGAGAAGAAAGTTCTTCAGGTGAAGGTACCATTACTTCTCGAAGGTCAGAGATTGTGCTTCTCCTTAGGCCATTCTAATTTGCAAGTGGAAGGAGACTCAAAAGTGGTGATTAGATGTCTGTGCAAATTAAGAAGAACGTCCATGGATGTTATCAGCACGAAATTAGGGAAGTGAGATCTCTAGAATCTAGACCAAGCACCTATTCTATTGGGTTAGGAAATCAATAAATGAAAGGGAAGACTGGCAATAAATGGGATTGAAAGGGATTCTTTGTATCAGAGTCCCAGTCTTCTAGGAAGGCATGTTGTCAGATTCATATTTAGGGCTAAGCCAGGAAGCTTACCATATCTTTCCCAAGAGGGAGTCTATACTTTCTGTACCTTTCCTAATATTATTGGATAAAATTCCCTCTTGATCTGTTAATGATTGAAAAACAGCTTTGTACACAAAAAGTGATTAAATAGCCAGACAGAAAACTCACTTTAGTGATAGATTGTCACTAATTAAAAAATGGTATTATACTTGTCAATACCCCAGCAAAGAAAAGTTGGCACAAAATATATATATATATATATATAGAAGGGATTAGCCTTTTTCCATTTACATAATAATAGTACATGATGGGTTTCAAATATATGACACTACATTGGTAGCCAGTAACCTTACAGCAAATCATGGAAAGATGTGAAAAGAGCTAGCAGGCATATAATTTGATCAATGTAGTGGTATATGCCATGAATTAATCAGATCCTTCACTTTAAGGATAACATTGTGCATGTCACTGAGAAGTGAGAATAGTTTACAGCTTAACATAACATTGTAAAATGAAGTCACAATTGAATGAACAATGGGAACTTTTGGCATGCATGAATCAGCCAACAAAAACTGAAATGAGCAGGTATAAATTGGGCCACAAGAAACATATTTATATATAAGCAACTATAAGTTATTTATTCTAGAAAACATTTATATGCTGAATATGCATGTGCATGAGGGGGAGAGAGAGAGAGAGAGAAGAATGGCCTGGAACAGTAGAATAACTTATCTGCATCTGCTATGGATATACCTGAGAGAAATTAACAATGACCGGGAGGATATGGGCTACACAGTCCTGAGGTTCCAACAACTTCCCAAGTGCAGCGCAACCCTCAACAGCCAACAGCCGGACAGAATCTTGATCTGAGATAAAGTATAATTGATACAATCTACTACTTAATTCACTTATAAAAGAAATTTGCACAAATGTAATGGCAAAACTAAACACATCAGATAGGGAATCAAGTGGACAGAATTTATTCATAAATAAGGAATTCTTGATACAAAACTGACAGTTCACATGTTCACATTTCATGATAAATTATCTGACATGCAATGTTGAAGCCCTTTTTTTGGTTAATTGGAAGTTGAAACATCACCCATAGAATCCTAGAGTAGCTTCTAACCAAAAACTCAAGCAAGCTCTTGCAAGGAAAACAAAAGAGACAGCCACTGACAGGATAAGTATGGATAACTAAGGCCGGAATTCTACCATTGACAAGCAACAGATAGATGCCATATGGTTTGCAAGCATCTATCCATAGAGATGCTATTATGCTAAGGAAAATCTATAGCAGTACACCCTCTTGTGACAACAATGTTGCAAAACCAGTCTTTTTTTTACTGCAAAGTATCCATGGAACTCTATTTCACACAAAAACATCAAGCAGCAAGAAGACGACTACTGATTATATAGAAAAAAACAAAAGAATGCCAACAGCTTCAGAATTAAAGTGGAATCAACAAGAAGTGTTTATATGCAGTCAAATTGGTGGAGAACATTTCTGAAAACAAGTATATCATTTTTAAACAACCTTACAACAAAGATCAACATACCATCCTGTGTAAGATCCTCAAATATAGACATGATGTCTGTCTTCAGATGGGTGGGCTCAACAGTAGCAGCAAATTTTCCCAGGTTTGAAGCAGCTGATCTTCTGACCATTGGCATGTCATCTTGACACAATTGGCTGTATATTGACCGCAATTCTGTTTTCAACATCTCTGGTGCACTAGGATAGGCAATATGAAAGAGTCCACATGAGGAAACTCGAGCTGTAAACCATTCACCAGCTGCCAGCCTCTGAAAGTAGGTTGCATCACATGTCAAAATAAATGATTGCGTTAAAATAAAATAAAGGCATACACAATAGGTTTAATATAAAGTCTTAAAGAGACAATCACCAAACAAGTATAGTGTGATTCACATGACAAAAAAAAATGTAAAACAAATTGAATTTTGATGACCTCGAAAACATTTATCAAAAAGAGATCACTGGCATGGTTGACAGAAAGAGTACAAGTATAATGAAAATTGGCTTCTATTTGAAACAAAAATTCAGATTACTAAAAAGCCACGGATCTCTTCTTTTTTTCCATTTTCTCTTCATCTCTTTTTAGGTCGGGGTGGGATCCTTAACATAGATAAACCTTGGGAATAACATCTCCTTCATATGAAACAGCAGTATGGGATAATCTAGTTTGTACCAAAGACCACAATCATGTGTCATATAGAAAAGGTTCAACTGCGCATGGATACTCTATAAAGAAAATCAGAAAAAGAACGTGGCTGATTTTTCAATAATAATGTTTCTCAATGATAGGAAAAAAAAAAAAAAAACAACATCCCAAAAACATCAAGGAAATGTTCCATATAATTACCAATCAACCTACAAAGGAAAGAAAGATAAGAACAAGCACCAATTAAAATCAAACATCAGACACAAGACAACTACACTACCTTCACCAAAGGAATAAACCAGTCAACCAGATCATTCTCCTTCATCTGAGCCCCAATCCGACATAATGACTCCACGGCTTTGTCTCTTACACAAGTTTCCTCAACGGTGCAAAGAGTCTCCAGTGGAGGAAGCAAAACATGTGCATATTCCACTCCCCCTACATAGGGAATAAATACCCCCAGCTCCTCCGCCATGGCAAGAAGTACTTCATCATCATCGTCATTGTTCTCGCTGAGAAAAGGAATCAATTCCTTTCTTGTTCTCTCCTCACCAAGCGCACGAGCAATTGTGGAGAGCCTACGGATGGAGTTTAACCGAAGCTGAATGTCTTCATTTTTCAGCTCATCTATCAAAACGGCAATCGGATACAGCGGCTCATCGATCATAGCCATTGTATCTTTACGAAATTATTTTCGGCAGCTGCAGAGATCATTTCAAGAGGGCGCATAAGTAATTGGAAGGAACGAATAAACAACAATAGAACAGGAAAGGAACTTTCTTCAACATGGGCCCTGACTGGGTTACAAATCAGAGCGAATATTGAGTTCTTGAATCTGAAGATTTCAAATCAAACAACATAAATACCATAGAATTCCGAGAAATATAGAGAGAAATAGAAGCTCGGCCACAAATAGGAAGAATATCTAAGCAAACAATGACCAGATCCCACACAAAGATGGAGTTATTTCCACAAATCTACAAATTGTTCGTTTGCGAGCTTAAAATAACAAAGAAAAATAATCTTCTGAAAACATGATCTCAACAGCCTCTAAGATCTAAGAAATACTTCTCCTCCCTATAAAAAAACAGAAGGCGAAATGCAGGGGAAAAAATGAAATGAGATTGAAACCCTAGAATCAGAGCGTCCTATATTTGGTTGGAAGCAGAATCGGTAATTCGGTATTGAAAATAAAAAATAAAAACTGGAAAGTTGAATGTCTGGAAGGAAGAGAAAGAGAGGGAGAGGGAGAGGGAGAGGGAGAGGGAGAAGGAGAGATCGTATTACCGTTTGGAAAGGCTCCCTAAATGCTGCCTCGGATTCGAAATGGCGTTCCCCGTCGAAGAATGATTTTTGAGAGAGGTGGGGAGGGGGGGACGGGTTCTACGGTTCTACCTTCTACGACATGGATTTTCATATGTCCAAATCTCACACACCCGGGAGCCTTTTCTCTTTTGACGCACCAAAATGGACTGGGCCTGGATTTTTTTTTTTTTTTTCTTTTTGGTAATTAGGAGGAAAAGCTACAAGGCCGTGGGCTGGGCTTGCCTTTCTCCTTTCTTAGTTCATCATCTATTCCGTATATTTAAAATGGGTAACTTGCTGAAACCTCCCTGGAGTTTTTGACTATTGTAGAAATCACCTCCTTTAGACATTTTTGACACAATTACAACTAAATCCTCTCTTCAAATCTAATAAACGAAAATGTCCAAAATATTAAATACTCGTGCGGTCACTATTGAGTTTGGTTTGTAAGGGGAAAAAAACAATACAGATAAAAGATTTTATGAACAAAAAAAAATTAAGTTGCAGCTTTACACAGTGATTGATATTAAATAAAATTTTGGAAAAATAAAAAGGATTTGAGGTACCAATTGATGTGAAAAAAGGATTTAAAAAATAAATATTTTGATCAAAAGTAATGTCATAGATATTTTAATTACTTTCATGCATCTTGTTTGAGGATTCTAATAAAGGAATCAACTTATAACTATACAAAAAAAATTCAAGAGAAATAATTGCAATTACCAAACATTAAGGGAGGTTAGCTGTGATTCCAGCTTTTATCCTGTAATTGGCTCTTTTCAGCTTTTGCTTTTAATATATATCTATCTTTATTTATCAAAAAAATAAATACGGTTATTCAGGTCAGCTTATTGTGGTTTTTAAAATTAGAAAATAAAAATCAAACAAGGTTACTTAAACAACGAGAAAACCACTGCTGCTGAGTGCCGAAGAGGCATGATAGGGAAAGGCTTGACCAATTAAAAACTTGTCAATACTTCCTCATTCCTTACCACTTTTATGACAGTGGTTTATTGATTATACATTTTTCTGATATCATGGCCGAACCTTATTTAAATTCATCCACAAACAAATCAGTTTTTTTATTATGAGAAAATCTATGCTGCCAATAAACAAGATACGGGAATAGTTTTGACAAATCAAAAACCCCTCTATATTTTGATAAATACAACTTGATTGATTACCACTTACCACTTTTATTATGATGTTGATTGATTATAAATTTCTCAGATGGTATGGTAGTCTTAACATTTCTTTTATTAGACAACTGCATGTAATTACTCCTCTATGGAACATTGGCATCTTTTAACACTGTATGGCATGGGTCTTAGCTTTTAAGAAGCAAGTTTTTCAAATACCAATGCTGATTTAAGTGGGGTGAGCAAGAAAAGCTGAACCGAATCGAAAAAATCAATCAGAACAAACCGAAAATTCAGTTAATCAATTTTATCGGTTCGGTTTTGGTTCGGTATTAAAAAACAAAGGCACTGGTTTGATTTCAGTTAACTAAAATAGAAAATCAATAATTAATCGAACCGATCGGTATACATATATTCATATATATTTTATATATATTATATTTTCTATACATTTTAAATTAATAAATATACATTATATATATATAATATAATATATTATTTATTATTCAAAATATAATATTTTATATATTTATAGTTGTTTATTATATATTTACATATTTTTCTATAATATATATTATAAATAATAAAAAACCGACAAACTGAATCGATCAACCAGTTAATTGATCGGCTTCAATTCATTTTGGATTACCCCGATTCTGTTTAAAAAATAAGCCCACCTTCCCTAATTATCAGGCGGCCCGATAGAGGCGTAGACCGTCAAATTCAATGAGATTTGTCAACTATAGTACAATGCCCCGAGCAACTGGATTGATGAGTGTTACCAAATATTTACCTAAATCCATTGTTTCATTGGGCCAAATTTGCAAGCCTGTCAAAATTTTATGGCAGAATCTACGATCTCATTGGGTAAATTCCACTTTAACCACGTAGTATGTATTTGTCCTTGTATTATGGTTTAATATTTATTTCTCCAATACATGGTTTTGAAAATCAAACTAAACCTGATAGTCAAATTGGTTGACCCAATAAATGGTTAGCCAATCGGTTCCATTTCACTCTAAAACCATTAATTTGGTCAGTGACTCGTTGACTTTAGTGGTCGAATCGTTGACCTGTCAACCTGGACAACGGTTATTGGCCATTTTCTTTTTTATTTTTAATCATAGCGGGCCATCCATTTAAACTAGATGATTGGACCGTTTGACCCGAGAACCAATAGCCAAAACAGTTCCATGTCCAGTCCGATTTTTAAAACCTTGTTCCCAAAATGTATTATGTTGTAAGGATTTGAGTTGAGTTCTCCTTGTAACCCATTAAATCAATGTCTCCCATATTGCATGTAAAACCCATTTAGACTCTCAACATTCAAATAGCAATTACCCCTTTGAACTTTTATTTGTGACAAAGTTGAGGGGATTTATATTATTAAAAAGTATTGAATATAAATCTAACTGATACAATATATTAGTAAAAACAATAATTTAAATATATAATTCAATGAGAATGAGAATTATTACCCTAAATATAAGGGTTTATTTGGTTTGTTAGAACTGGGATTTGGAAACCAATTTAGAAATGGTCAATTCCAATCATAGGCATTTGGTTGGGCGGAATTGGAATCTGATTCCCTTTTCGGGTGGAATGGCAATCCCCATTTAAGGGAATGGCCATTTTTTGCCCAACCCGAGGATTTGGAATTCCACTCCCACCGGTTAATGGGACCAAAATGAAATGACTCAAAACCCATTCAAATCCTTCATTTTGTCCAATCCTCCATCCATCATCTCTCGTCAACCCCCCATTCCACCACCAAAGTTTGAAGAACCAAACCAGACTAAAGTCACCACTGGTTTCTCTCTCCCTCATCTTTTCTTCCTCTTTATCTCATTTTCTCTCGTGCTTTTTTCGTTCCTCTATTTGTTACATATATATATATATATATATATATATATAATTCTAATAACATAAAAAAATGTATACTTTTAAAATCTACATGAAAAAAAATAGTATTTTCATCTAGGTGGTGGTAAGAAATTAAACCATTTTGGGTCAAATGGGCCAACTCATGTTGCCACAATTATCAACCTATTGAAAAGTTAGTGTTTTGTGTTAAATACCAAAAAAAATATTGTCACAATTAAATAATATAAAATAAAAAAATAGATAAAATACAACAAAAATATAAAAAAAAATAAAGAAAATGTTTGAACACTTTTAACATAATTTATTTGACATATTAAACAATAATAAGTATGACAAATAAGAATTATTTTATTAATGATAGAAATGAAATATAAAATTTAAAACCAATTTGAAATAAAACTATTTTCATATTCTCTCTCATTATATCTCATATCTAAGTTATATCCTCTCATTAAATCCTATATTGAACATATATTTTTCTCATCATTAAATTCCACTAATTAAATCCACAACATTAACTTTATTACTATAAAAATAAATATTTTGAAAACGAAACCATTTTCTTTCCCTCCCGGTAGTGGGTAAGTAATTCAACCATTTGGGCTTAAATGGGTTAATCAACAATGTCATAATTTAATAATAGAAAATAAAATAATATAAAATATAAAAAAACAAAAGAATTAAGTGTATATTTAATATTGTATATTCATTATACTAAATAAAAACAAGTATAGAATCTAAGAAGTATTTTTATTAATTATGAAAATGGTATGTCAGATTTAAAATCAGCCTATAAATGAAATGATGACATTGTTAAATAATAATTTTTTTAAAAATAGAAAATAAAAATAATCACAAAAATATAAAAAAAAACTAGATAGAATTTTGGGCACATATCTAATGTTATATATTTATAAAAAATAAAATATTGGGTACATTTATAATATTATAATATTGAACTAAAAAAATATTATACATAAGAATTAATTTTATCAATGATGTAAATGTAATACAAAAAATTCAACCTAAAAATCAAACTATTTTCCATTATTTTTTTGAAAAAAAATATTGTCCTTTTTTTGGGTGGTAGGTTATTGGTTTGGTCAAATGAATTAACCGATGATATCATAATTAAATAATAAATCTTTAAAAGGTAAAAAATACAAATAATTAAAATTATAAAAAATGTATACATCTATAATGTTATATATTAATTATATCAAACAAAAATATAGTGTAATAAGTAAAAAAATATTTATATAATGTAGATGAAATATATAATTTAAAACTTATTTAAAAAGAAAGCTATTTTCCTATCTAGATGGTGGGTCAATGATCCAACTTTTCAAATAAACTCATGGTGAAATTTTAATAATAATAATAATAACAACAATAACAACAACAACAACAATAATAATAATAATAAGTGTTATTGTAATTTAAAGTTTTCATGTTCAATCCACATGAAGTTGGAATTTTTTGTGTATATCTGCATTTTATTTTATATGTTCATTTACTACAACACCCCCTATATTTTCACAAAGCTTAAACCTACCATATAGTTTGCGTTTTACTAAACCACCCCTTATAGTTTGCAACTTATTTACTTAAGCTACCTTTTATTAAGAAATATTTGTTTTCCCATTTGAATACAATAACATGATCACCTAAACTAAGTAGAAAATGTTCACCCATGATTGTTTTTTCCAAATATACCCCTAAACTATATGGAAAATGTTAAAGGATACAAATCCATAGTTGTTTATTGTAAAAGAACCAACCCCTAACACTTTTGCATAGAAAACAAAATTGACCAAATAGAGAATAATGGAGTGGTTGTCCATGTTTTACTATGGGCAAAAATGGCATTTTGTTTTTAGTTTATTTTCAT